TATAGTTAAAATAAACTTTCGGTAAACTGACCCCCAATACATGATCGGTTCACATCCCGAGTCTGGGGGTAAAGCTATGAATCGCTAAAAATAGGTGGTATAGGTAAATGCAATTCCCTGATAATATGTAATAATTATTTTGGTACATGTAACTAATTAAGATAAATAAAACTACTAACTATCATAAAATAAATTTATATTTAGCAAAATCAATTGAAATATATTTGTCTATTTAAAACTTATTATAGTTATTTGCCATTAATTGATAATAAAATTAAAAATAATAATACATATATTTTTCAATTACCATCAGAATATTAATCAAATATTTTTCAAAATATATTTACTTTTATGGAAAATTTTGTTTACAAATGTATAATTTACAAAGTAATTTAAATATATTATAAAATGGTTAAGTTTATTTATAAAAAATAATGCAACATCCAAAATAGCATTTTGTTAATAGTAAAAACCACATTTTAAAATTAAATTCATAATTATATTTTTGTAAATATTTATAAATATTAAAAATAATGCATATTAATGATTAACAGGGTAACAGCTGGTATTATAAATGACATTACCTCTTTATTTTTAAGCATAATTTAAAAATAATTATCATAAGTTATTATAAATTATTAAATATATTAATCAATACACAATATTTTAAAGAATTATTTATTTAATCAATATGTTTGGCGGATCATTAAGCATAATTATGATAATATGTATGTGCATTACCTTAATTGTTTCAGATATAGTATTGGATAAGAGTAAGCGTAAATTTAATTAAATATATTTAAAATAGTACAATTGAATGTTGCTCGTTTATGCTTTAGATGATTCAAAAACATCTCAATCAAACATGGCTAAAAGCAATCAGGTAAAATAATTTAGTTTTGTATATAAATTTACAGGTAACTATTTTATATATTATAAACTATACAATATAGACAACACCAGAACCTACCCCAACTATAATCGCCACCTTGGTCACTGTAGAATACAAACACAATGTTAACACTAGCAACGAAAAAAGGGTCTAAACACTCAATGTTAGCATGTTTGTTTTGGAATAGTAATTATTAAACAAATATTTTTAAAATACTACAATTATTGTAAAATAAATAACATGCAGGTGCATAAAAAATAATTAAAAGCTTTTAACCATAGTTGTTAAAATTTCGTTGATACTTTATTAAACTATTGTTTCAAGTTTTGGATTATTATCAGTGCAGTATTTAGCCACGATGGCCGCAACAAAACAATCGCCAAGCACATTTGCACATGTCCGAATACGACCACTGCAATTAAATGAAATTATTGATGTTAAAATAAAATAAATTAAATTAAGTTTAGCCTAAATTAAACGTACACGAGCAAATCACCCACAGACACATAAACTAGCACATCTAACGGATTCTCGATACCCAGTGCTGCACAAAATGATGCAAATATTATAATAACAGCACCACCGGAGCCAATAGCCGGTATGGCCACAGACATTACCAGGGTCATAAATCTGGCAATTAAGATAATTGGAATTTGGTGCAATTTATTATAAAATTAGTTTGTAATCTTACATAAGAACAATCATGTGTTGAACGCCAATGTCAACAAGGTGCATTTGAGCGACAAACAACACAACCATAGGGTAATACATGGCCATACCATTCATGTGCACATTTACTCCCAGTGGTAATACAAATCTGGTCACTCTCTCGGGTAGTTTCACGTTATCCTCCATTGTTTTTATTGTCACCGGAAGTGTTACTGCGCTAAATACATAAAAATAACATAATTATTTGTACCAAAATAATATGGTAAAATAGACATTACCTCGAATCAGTACCAAAGGCTACTATAATAACAGGCATTAGGTTTATGAAAAATTTAACAGGGTTTTTACGCACAACAATTAAATAAACCCCAGAGTGTATGATAAACAACAGGATAGAAAATCCAATCATCGTGGTTATGCTGAACCACACGAGTTGCGAGATTAGCCGATCGGGTATACGAAACTGTATGCCCGCCAATACCATCCAGTAAATAAGTGCCATTGGTATTAATCTAGATAGAAAAATTATTTTATTACAATTATTAAAAATTTGTAATCTAGCTAGTATTTAATTAGCAAATTAATTACTTCATTAGCAGTTGAATTATTTTCAATATGATTAATTGAGTTTCGTGTAGAAATTGGCGCGCGCCCGGTACCTGATCGCCCAGGCACAAAATAGCCACTCCCAACATTGTGGCAAAAACGCACAGGCCCATAAAATTGACCGTGAACTGATTTTTGGTCACTGGTTTGTAACCAAGCGTTATATTGTTTGGGTCTTTTGCCTCTAACCCGGTGTACGTTTGCATAAACATCGCGCCCACAATATTGTTCGGGAACAGATTACTGAAGGTAATAAATATAAATAAATTTATATTAACAAGCATAAACTCAAGCACTAGAACTACAGTTACACTACTTTAGTATATAATTGTAATTTACAATTATTAAAACAAAACTCTTATACTTACATTATAAAATCGTACAAGGTATCCTCCTTACTGACCATGCCCTGTTTAATCATAGCCGCGTATGGGTTAAATGGTCGGTTAGTATTGCTATTCCAATCGGCCAATTCTTCGGCAGTTTGCACTCCGGGTCGCATAATAAACATAAGACTTGTGCCCAATATGGGTGACAGCGATGAAAATGTGATAAACAGGGCAAATGTCATGATCATTAATTTCCTACTACCACCACTAGTTGATGTGGAAATGCCTAGATTATAAATGTCATAATTATCATAATTGAACTAGTATATTTTAAATTTATTATACTTGATGCTAGTGATGTAACTATCATGGGAACTATTAATAATTGAAAAATGCGCATAACAATTGTGCCGGGTAAATGTAAATATTTCATCACGGTTGGATCTTTGATGGCTGGGTAAAATGTTTTTAATAAATAGCCAAACACCATTGCCACGATTGTTGTTGTAATGTAAATAATTTTACTACGGTTGTTTACAATCCATGATTTCCAGCTCTATTATAATTATAAAAAAAAGTTGTATTAATTAAATTTTAAACACAAATTTACTATTTTTATACTTTTAACCACATTTTGTAGGCTAACTTTAAATAATTAGTATAATATTAATATTATTTATATATTGATTAAGTTTTTATGGCGACTTTAAAACATGTTAAGTTATGTTATTATTTATATATAAAATTATTATTGTTTTGTCAAAATAAATTTCAGTCTAGATCTGAAACACAATTCATAAGAAATGTTTTTAATAAAAATGTATATTAAAAATTTTAAATCAGTTAATATTTATCATATTGTATAACAACTTGATTAACTGATTATTACAAAATTTTAAAGTGGAAATGTTATTTACGTAAATAACATACAATGATAACTATTGATATAATCTATGTCTAAATAGCCTTGATGTCAATTTGTGCAAACATTTTGATTGCNGGATATGTTAAAGGATGATTAATTTTAAAACAAATACAATTTACAATTCAATTACATTAATTAAATATAATATGTGAACTACAATTGCACTTAACGTTTTTACATTATATAATTTTGTATAAATACAATCAAAAATTAAATAAAATATTCATTAAAATATATTTACTTTTGATAATTAGTTCTAAAATTGTAGTGAAAATATAAAAATTCTACTACAGTATTAAAATATTTTTATTAAAAATAAGATATTATAAGTATGGTTAAACTATCAATCTTGCTGGCTATAGCATTATGCTACAATGGCATAAACGCATTCAATTGTAAGTATTTTATATGAATAATAATAGATAATAAAACTAACCATAATAATTTTACAGTGTTTACTTTGCCATCGCTTTTGCCGCTAACTAATATTAAAAATACCGCAAATCTAATCAATGACAACCTCAACAACGGCGTCGATAAACTAACCCAAATATTGCCCACACATCCTGGTGCTCTACCAATTGACCCAATCAATATACTTCAATCAACACTCAGGCACTTAGCAATTGGATTGCCGGTAGATTTAATCAGGCGATTGCTGGACACTATTCAAAACATTTGGCCCAAAATACATGCCCTCAACACTGGTGCTAAACAGCATAATCAATTCAATGTAAATGAACCGGCACAGTACTATACTAATCACGTGACCGACAGTCTGAACGATTCAATCGCTACCATAAACGTTGTGACACAAAGACGGAGCGCTAAGACTCGGTTCATGAATCAGTACATACAGGGGCTGACGGCTACAGAAACTCAAAACATGGCAACTCTTACAAAAGGCGCTGACTTTGCACCAGTAGTTGACGACAATTTTCCATACGATATACCAAACGTTAACCTCCAGTCCATGCAGTACCTGATCCACGAGCACGTGGTAACACTACTTGACTTAGAGCGAGCCATTGGCAACAATACTGTGCCGGATCATGATGACCAGCTTATTCAGGCCGCCCTAATAGAGCACTTGACACAGTTTAGCCCACGCGTTCAGGCAAACATCTATTTAAGCTGGGTGCAATTTGTGAAATCGCTAACTAAACTAGATGGTAATGTTGGTAAAAACAATGCTAATATAGAAAAAGATGTGTCAGATGTTGCTAGAGCTTCTCAATGGCTGCGCTGGCAGTTTGAGACACTTATTATTGTGTGTAATTCACGTCAGGAGGCCGTTGGGGCTAACCGTATACCGGCCTCTGAAGACAGGTATGTGTCCGATAAGGCACAGGCGTATCGACAGTTTGTAGCAAATGTTAAACTCAGATGGTTTTTCCAATTTAATACTACCGACACATTAATCCGTAAAGGATTAACACATGCTGTCAATAAATTAGCCCTATTGTCAAACATTCCGGCGCTAAGTAATAGCCAATCATTATTGATGGACCAGATTAACTACACTAACGCCCAGATTACTAAGTTTCACGGTAAGTTTCATTAGTAATTATTACAAATATTGATATAATGAATTAAAACTGTAATTATTTCAATCTAGTTGCTATTGATTTAATCAACTCTAATCGCGATCTATCAGAAAGTATAAAACAAACAGCTGTTGACATATCAAAGGGCGCACAACAGGCGGTCGTCGAGACATCAATGAAACTATCGGTACAATTGGTGGACAAAACCCTTCGCAAACTACACGACC